ATTTTTTTTATTCTTAAACGAACATTTTAACTAGTTAATAATCGGTGTATTTTATATCGCTGTAATATTATTGTATCTTTGGTCTATCGTTTCCACTTTCTTTTTGTGATTATTGAGTTGAGCAAAAGTTAACTTCTTTCCGATCGAGAAAATTAGTTTTATTTACAAGTATGGCAGAATCAGAAGAAATTCAGCGTTATTTGAGAGGTTTGTGTGATTTAAATTTGCTAAGTTTGCGAAAGTAAAAAATCTAATAAATTTCACATTAACATTTTTACATTTTTTATGTTTTAATTCTTTTTTTAAAGATTTAACTGTTATTTTTCATAATTTCAAATCTTTTCAGTCTTTACAGTTACACTTTACAGACATCAGAATTTTTTCTCAATTGCTCATTTTACTTATTTACCTGATATTCATGTTTCATTTTCTTTCTTTTTTCTACCTAGAAATGGTTTATTTTTCAAATTTTAGTTGGGCACTGTTGAAGTTTAGAAATCACATTCATTAGATAAATTTAATTGATTGATTGAACATACTTAAGTATTTAAATATTTATTCATTCCAGAAAAAACAGGGTGGTATATATTAAAAGCACCCACAAATTTAAAATCAGAAATCTGGCAGAAATTTCACATGGTTTTTCAAAAAAAGGAAAATGATGAAAGTGAAATTCCTGTGAATTACTATTGAGTATTGTGCTTGTATTAAGTGCAATAAGGTATATCAGTTTAAAGATTCATCAGGTAAAAACTTTGGCACTAAAAATCAGCAAGAACATATTAAACATTGTGCTGTAGTCTTGCCAAAGTCACAGTTGAAAATCCAGCAATGCTTGAAACGAAAAATTCAACTGTCTCCTCAAGAATTAACGATGTTGAAGCATAGGCAGATCTTTTTCTGTGTTGATGGTTACCACTCATACAAATCTGTTGAAAATAAAGGGCTTCTCAATTTGATGCAGAGCTGTGTTGAGTTAGGTGCCAAATATGGAAAGTTTGATGTTTCTGACGTTGTTGTGGGAAAATATTAATAACATTTAATTTTTAATTAATTTTCATGTTATTTTATTACACTTGCAGTGTGATTACTTCACCAGTGTGTTTTATTACACATATGATCTTGTATTTTTGAGTTCTGCTTTTTAAATATCATTTGTAAAAATGGGTCGTGGGTTGGGTCGGGTCGGGTTGGGTTGAAAAGTTGCATTTTCAGGCGGGTTGGGTTGGGATGGGTTGAGTTGAGTGATGGGTTGGGTTGGGTCAGTAAAAATGGACCCATGTCCACTTCTGAGCCATGATGGTTGTTTGTTGTCTTAAAGTTTAATTTTAATGTATTCCATCCACAAATGTAATTTTTTATAGATGTTTAAATTATTCTTCAAATGATTTGTGAAGATTTTGTGACACTGCCCTTCGGTTTTTAATTAGTTTCTCTTACAGAGTTGAATCTGCGCAGATCCTCACCCCTAAA